AATCACTATTTTATCTGTTCAACAGGGCCAATATCTATCTACTTTACACAGTGGTTTGTGAGGATAAAATTGAATAATAGACATAAGAATGCCGTTCAAAGTACAAAGCACTGCATGAATGTTATTGTTAGGCTATGTAAGTGAAGAGCTGTTGAAGATAACAAATCAATGAAAGAAAAAGTGTGTATGGAAAAAAACCCACAGGAACTTACATTTTTCCAATGGAATTGGACAATCTTCTCATGTGCACTAAAAGAGCAATCAACTTCAGGACACTGTAAGAGTTAACAAAAAAAGACTATTCAATGTTTTTCCATATTAAGTACACCCTATTACTACATATACAGACATACTGTAGTCATATCACAGTTACCCCATCTATGTGGTGTTATCACTGCATAGTTATGTCAACAGTAAAAGTCACTCCAAACAGAGTTGAATTTTTAAAAAAATGGCATTTTCAAAGTATACAGTACAGTAATACACATTATTTACTTTCAGTGTTTTAAAATGATTTTTATTCCTGAAAGTGAGGGGCATTTCTATAAATATAAGCTGAAAGAAAACCTTTTTCAAACTAAGAACTTTCTTTTATAACTTTATTTCTCAAATATTCTGGCTAGAAATTATTTTTAATTGATTTTAGAGAGAGAGGAAGGTAGAGAGATGGAAATACTAATTCATTGTTCCATTTATTCATGCTTTCATTGGTTGATTCCTGCAGTGCCCTCACTGGGGATTAAACTTGCAACTTCGGTATAACAGGATGATGCTCCAACCAACTGAGCCACCGGGCCAGGGCTGGTTAAAAAAATTTTTAAGTACTTAATAAGGTCCAGACCACCCTTAGAAAGTGATGGGCCATGGCAAATTACATGATGTAGTTATATACTCAAGGGGAGCCTTACAGAGAAAAGAGCTTACAAAGATGCACAGAGCAAATGGAGGGGGAACCAGCCCTGTTATGAAGCAGAGGAGGCCCACATACACTAACAGCTGTGAGACCATCCTTCTTTGCTGCCATCTTACCTCTTCCTGAAGCAGTTGGCTCCCCACCCTCAAACTGTAAATTCCAGGGTCCCAATTTATCAGGTCATCAAACATAACTTTTAAGGAGAAGCAGCTCAGAATTTCTACCAACTATATCCATTTTCCTATATAAATCACAGCATAACCAAAAAAACCTACTTTTGTATGTTCAGACATATGTTTATCATACTTTTCTTGATTTTTAAAACCACGATCACAGGTATCACAAAAACAGTGAAAAACCGGTTCTTTTCTTTTCTACAAATAAAAATAAAGAGGTGTTAGGCTTTTGGTGAAAAATCTTTAATCAATAATAAAAACATAAGTATCTTTCTAGCAATACATACTTTGATTTTTCACATAACCCTTATATGTGGGGGAAACTCCTGAAGACATTACTAATGAAGAGACAATTCTCTCTCTTCTTTTTTCTTTTAATTTAAGCAAATATATTAGGAAAAGCCAGGCACAACAAAAATTTTTAAATCTGAGTAGAGCTAACATAAACAGTGAATAGCTTGCAAAGTGGTGATCTAAATAAAGAAGATGTATCAAGACAATCTAAAAATAAACATTCAGGGTAAAAACAGCATTCCATCTTTCAAAAAATCCATATATGTGTGTATATATGTAAATATAAATATATAAAAAACTACAGAAGGGGATAAAGAATTATTTAGATAAAGATCAGTTATTTTTTTACTCCCAATGTTATATTATGCTTAGACATGATAAACTCCATAGAAAATATTTAATGTTGAGATATTATAAATATAGTACAGTTTCACAATATTTTGTTAATATTAGGTACATATTTTCATGCCAAAATAAAGAAACTTACTCAATTTATTCTCAACTAATGACATTATTTACATACTTTAAAAGGTGAAAGACCAGATTGTAAACTACATCAGATAAAATAAGCTCATTTTAAGATTTCACTTCTGAATATAATCGAGTTGTTCCTCCTTAAAAAATTACAAAAGACCTTTATTTCCCCCCTCTCCTAATCGTCTAGTAATATATATATATAATTTATACGTTATTTTTCACTTCATTGAGGTTTAAAAACATCTTCATTTATCTGTAATTATAATTTTCAGTAATACTCACTCCTGATACTGTATTGAAATGAATTGTTTCTTTTTTCTATGATTTCATTTATTTCTCAAAAAGATTCCACTGAAATTTTCACTTACAGCTAAGATTCCCTGAAGATCCTATTATAGTCAGGCTCCACTGTGTCAATAATGAATGCAAAACACTGAGAGAGTTATTATAGAAGCATAATATAGGAAAGAATAACATTGGGACCAAAGTGCTACATTCAAGAACATCTTCGAAAATACCTTTTTTTTATGTTTTCTACAGGGAGGGAAGTTGAAGTCAGTAAGCTTTGCATCATATTTTTGTGGAAAATAAGAATGATTAACTGAAAAACAAAAAGAGATCCATAAATGTTTACAACTAAACAATTGTGTAAATTTTTATTTGCTATAGCATGTCACAAATACTTGAGTAAAAACTGCTTGAACAATTATAAAAGATTAAGAGTAGTCTACCAAATAAATATTTTTCAAATTAATACATAGTGGTGAGATTAAATGTCCATAGATGCTTTAGGCATCGAAGCAATGAACAAGCTAATCTGATAAAATTTCCTGTAGTTGTTTCAAATATTAGACATTTATCAATAAACAGTAAAACCCTTAATATAGCTCTTTCAACATCAATTTTATTATGTTGGAAACAACCAGGAAAACAACCTTGTAAAACACATTTTCTCTCAAATCCTTTTCCTTTTTTATTGCCATGATCCAACTCTGAAACCCTGATCTACTGTGAAGCCCTCCCAACTGTTTTACAGTTTCTAAAGTCCTTTCTTTCAACAGACTCTGTACCCTGACACCACAAAAACAATCCTCCAACTGTCACAGCCCTGCTCAAAATCTGCAGATGGCTTCCTAGAGTGCGTCAATGAGATCCCAGCTTATTTTTTCACTTTCCCCATACCTTCCACATACTCTGCTTCAGTCACAGTAGAATACGGCAATCTTCACAACTCATCTTGTAGGGACACCTCTTTGCCTGTGCCTAAAAAATATCTCTTCCTAAACAATTCTCAGGACACTAATCCAAAAGCTGTTCCCAACTCCTCGAAACTCTGAAGGCACTTTTTACATGCCGCCATTACCAGTCACACTGTATTGTTATTTACATTTATGAACCCATCTCACCTGACTTAGTATTGCCTCAGGAATGTTCATATCCTCAGCATTTGGCTTAATTGACTTAATTGGCTTAATTGGCACACATTGACTTAGATTCAATTTAATCTAAACTGAATCTTATGCAAGAGACTGGTGAACAATCTCATGACTTTAAAGTACGATCTACATGCTGATAACACCCAGCCACAAATGTCCCCTGAAGTACAACATAGCTAACAGCCCATTCAACATTTCTATTGATTGAGTTTGACGCACATATATCAAACTCAACTCCTGGTCTTCTTTCCAAATCTGCTCCATCCACATCCTTCCATTTGTTTGGCAAAGCACTTTAAATTAAACTCATCTCCTCTTTACCTCACACCCTATATCTGATCCTTCAGGAAGTTGTTTGGGCCCTACCCTACCTTCAAAATATATCTAGAAACCAACTACTTCTCATCACCTCCTGAGCTCCACCCTGGTCCAACTCCCCACTATATCTCACCTAGAAAACTGCAGTAACTTCCCTTTCATTCACTTCCCATTGGTAGCCACATTAATCCTTTAAAAACATACATCAAATCATGTCACTCCCCTACAGTATAAAAACCCAAGTCCCATCAAACTACAAGGCCCTCAACAACGGTCTACCCTCTTCCCCAATTTTCTACAATTCTACTCGAGGCTCAGTCCTCTTTAACCATGCTGGCTTCCATTCTGATCTATAGCTCCTGCCTCAAAGCTTTCGCGGTTGCCATTTCTTCTGCCTGTATCTTTATTACCCCACACGTATCCCCAGACCTGATTCCTCACCTCCCTGAAGTCTTGGGCCAAATGTTACCTTCCTTATAACTCACACTGACATTTAAAAGTGCACTACATATCACTCTTCTTTATCTTCCTCCATACCACTCACTGTCTTCTACTACAGTTTCATTCTGTCCTCTTGCATTAGATGTTAAGCTCCATAAAGATAAGAATTTTCGTATGCTTTGTTCACTACGATGTTCCCAGTCCTGACACATAGTTGAATTCAATAAATAACTGCTAAATTGGATGAAAGGGAGAAACACATTCTTCTCAATTTGTGAGACATTAATGACCAGACTCCAAGAGTGCAGCGCAAAATCCTCAGTGGAGAGGAAAAAAAGAAAAACTGGAGAGGAAAGGGGAAAAGAAGAGTAAATGGGGGCGTGGTAGGGAGAAGAGTAACAGCCTACCCGGAGTGTCGTGGGCTTTCTGATGCCAAGGGAAACTACCAAGAGACTGTCTCCAGGGCCATGATGTCGAAGCCTGGAAATTCCAGGAATGTTGGCCGTCGACCTGAGGCTGCGAATCAAGGCGGGACTGGGTGTCGAAGAGGGACTGAGCTCCGGGAAGGATCTGGGTGTTGAAGCCAGGAGACGTGTCGGTGACCACCGGGGTCTCCACCGGGGGTGGCACCTCCGAGCAAGGCTGTGACCCTCCTGCGGGAGGCGACCACGAAGGGGGTGGAGGCGGCGGCAACAAGGCCCAGAGCATCCAATTGGGTGGCAGAGGGGCTGTGTCGCTCAGAGGCCCCAGCGTAGGGATCAGCTCGGGAGCTGAAAACCACCCAGCGGGAGCTACAAATCCACCAGCCGACTCAGCCATGCTGCCGGCCAGGTCCAGGACCCGGTGCTCGACTGGGGAGCCTGCCTTACTCGTCACTTCCGTTATCGCGAATTCCCAAGGATCAGCCAACCACAGGCTGAAATGTCATTGGTCAGCGCCGGAAAAACTTCCAGCCTTTGCGACGGGTCGCGGGCTGTTTTGGGGTTAGGTTTGTGTGGACACACTTGCATTCGTTACCAATATCCGCCACTGTGCATGGCGAGGGATCTGATCGGGCCGGCTCTGCCGCCGGGCTTCAAGGCCCTTGGAACAGCAGAGGACAAGGAGCGGGACCCCAGCCCGGGTAAGCCGCGGTGCGTCCCCTGCCCGCCATGCCCTCGTGCCCCTTCCCTGTCCCGGCCTTACTCTCTGAATAGAAGTTTAAGGCCTGGAAGGCTGGGAAGTGGGGTGTGGCCGCGGGCAACCCAAGCTAACTTTCCTTCCCAGGCCTTAGCAGCAGGGGAGGAGGCCATGGAGACCTCCGAAACGAGTTTTGGCTTGATAATTATTACAATGAAGATGTGTTCCCATTTAGCATTAAATGGGCTGGACGCTGTGCTCAACTGTCCATACACACTCAGTCATTTAATTTTCCTAGCAACTGTGTAAGGTAGAGTTAATTCTTGCTGTCTAGAAAAAACGTCCAAACCTATAGACAAGTTTTAGAGTTTATTTGAGCCAAATATTTCTGAACGTGCCCTGAAGCAAGTTCTCAATGGATTGAGAAAATGTTCTGGAGAATGGCAGGTTTGCAGTTCCTTGTATGTATTTATAATCAAAGGTGAAAACGTAAGGAAGGTACCTGAAATCAACTGGTGGTAGATTAAGGGTGGGAGATGGGAAGCAAAGTGGGGAAATCTCTAGGACTGAATAAAAAGCAAAGTGAAGAAACATATTTATCTTATATCACTGAGTTGTTAACAGTATTGTTAATTAACATTTACAGTACAAAAACATAGTATTGGAGGAACCAGATAACAATGAGGGGTTCTGTAGTCTCCGGTGGTCCTGTGCTCTGGTGCCTGCAATTCTTTGACAGGTCTAGAAAGTTACTCTAACATTTCAAAAGTATGTTATCCTAGATGCCTAAGAATGATGGACAGGGCTCACTTAAGGTAAACATTGACCTTTGCTAGGCCCTTAACTACTCACCATTAGGAAATTGTGATCAGACCTGTGTGGTTACTTTTGGTCACTGAGCGTTTCACTGAGCGTTAGTATATAGCTCCTTTTTTGTTCATATTTCCTTGTTACAACTGGGGACACGGAGGCCCAGGCTATTGCCCAGATCACACAGCTAGTTAAATGGGGAAGCCCTCTGTAGAATGAAGCTGGTGCTCTGTGCCTTTTGATATACAGTGCCAGGCTCTTGGAGAAGACGCTTTGCTCTCTAGCCTGACCTGCCTCCCTAGCTTTTAGTTCTGTCATTGCACCTGACACACACAGCCCAGAGCTCAAACCAATTAGAATTTCTGGCAGTTCCTTAGAGAAGCTTCTTCTGGCTTCACTCTGTACTTCCTAACATACCTGACAGACCGCTACCCCATCCCTGAGAACCCAACTTAAATCTCACCTCAGTGAAGCCTTTCCCAAACTCCCTCAAACATTGTCATACCTTCCTCTTTACCCATAGGGTTTTTTTCCTACTTAATTACATTATGTATTTAATACAGTGTTTTTGAATAATTCGTTGGCTTGCCTGTCTCCACCATTGCACTATGGTGTTCATAAATTCTTCTCAGACTCCTCCATGCATTATCTATCTCCTTTAATGTTTGTTCTAATTTGCAGGCTGGGACTGACACCAGAGTTGGAAAAGAATAAAGCTAAAAGAGTAACTCTCCCATTTCTTAGTCTAACATTAGTTCTTTGATTACCTGGAGACGATGTTTCCACCTAGAGCAGCGGTTTTCAGCCTTTTCCATCTCATGGCACACATAAACTAATTACTAAAATTCTTCAGCACACCAAAAAATATATTTTTTGCCGGTCTAACAAAAAAAGATTTAATTTTGATTCATTCACACTGGATGGCTATTGTTGTGTTGGCTGTTGTCATTCTTTAAAAATATGAGAGTCTAAGGGAAAAGAGGTCAGTGCCCCTAACTAGTCAGGAATTGCATGTTTTAAAAATTCTTGAGGCAAACCAGCTCAAAATCACTGACCTAGAGGTTTCCTTCCAGATCTCCTTTGTTATAACCATTAAAAAGTCAGGCTTTTACTTTAGCAAGGAAAGTTCCATTCCACCATGGTTGAATGAGTTTGGGTATTAAAGTTTTTGTGATTCTCATAGTTATATTGTATAAGACATGATTTCTGCCTTCCTGGAGTTGGAAAGACAGAACCACTATACACAAATAGGAGTAAATGAGATTAAAGTCCATAATAAATGATAGCCAGTCAGTGCTGTGAATTCAAAAAAGAAAGTATAAAATGTCAACTAGGGGTTTGTTGTAGTGATTGTGGCCAGTTTTGACATACACGAGAAATCTTTAGTTGCAGGACCAGCTCTACCTCCTAATTATAAAAGCAGTAGTTCAGAATCATCAGGCAGTGATGAGGACAGTAGTTCTTTGTATGAAGGAGGGAATCAAGAATCTGAAGAAGATGACACCGGTCCACCTGCAAGGTCAGTCACTTCCTTAATCCAGGCTTCAAATCTAGTATACACGGGCTGGAACAGATCTCTAGAAAGGGGGATATCACATCTGCATTTATGCAACTCAGGAAGAAATCTTTCCATGTGACATTTCCTTATAAACTATACTTATTACAAAGTAGTTTATTCTAGTAGAACATAGGTGTGGAAATAGCTAGAGTTTTGATAAATTCTTATAAAATTTTTCCTTAAGGTTTTATTGAAGTGACTAAATATTCTAAATAAACCATAGAGTATATTTTTTTAAAATTACATATGCACTGTTTGTTTTAAGTTAAATTTCCTTCTAATCTAGCCTTACTCATACAAGCACATGTTAATAAGATGTCAAATTTTTGTTTACTATTGAGTAGCAGGGGTTTTTTCATGCATTTTAAAGATTATGAGATAGAAATAGCAACATAAAATCCTTCCTTAAATGAGATTAAAAGCCAAAGTCATAAACTTCTTGGCTCAAAAACATCTGGCAAGCAGTTTACTATTTGAAACTTCATTGGGTGGAATCTTTACCATCACAAAAAATGAAGAAAATTGATATATTACCGCTCTAAAAAAAAGTAACCAATCTCTATTTTAGGTGAAAAATAAATTCCAGGAAAAGATTAGTGAGAGACTTATTGTGATGTTTGTTTTTTCTTAATTAGTAAGGTTAATTTATTGTTTCAGTATTTATACAATTCATTGAAGTAAAAAATTGAAATTTCTATGGAAAATATGTTATGTGTATAAAGTTATACTACTGTGTTTCCAGAAAACGGGAGAGAAATCAAGGTGACGATGATGATGATGAAGGATTTTTTGGACCAGCCCTTCCTCCTGGATTTAAAAAGCAGGATGATTCTCCTCCAAGGTATAATGTGTAATATTTCAGGCCAGTCTTTTCTAAGTATTTCAACTTAGAAAGAGTCTATTAATTCATCCAAAAGTTGTCTGAAATTGTTTTTTTACTTATATGTTTATATGACATTGGAATTCATATAATAACAATAATTATTTAAATAAACTTTTAAATAATCACTTCACTTTAAGAAAAATAATTATAGCCTTGGCTGATGTAGCTCAGTGGATTAAGTGTGGACCTGTAACCAAAGGGTGGAGGGTTCAATTCCCAGCCAGGGCACCGGCCTGGGTTGCTGGCCAAGTCCCCAGTAGGGGGCACATGAGAGGCAAGTACACATTGATGTTTCTCTCCCTCTTTTTCTCCTTCCCTTCTTCTTTCTCTAAAAATAAATAGATAAAAATCTTTAAAAATTAATTTTAAAAAGAAAAATAATTATAATAAAAAATAATTATATATGTTTATGACACTTCCATAGTTTATAAAACTTCCAAATCTCCTATTTGATACTCACAAAAGTGTTTTATGGTAGGCTGGGTGGAACATTATCCTTTTCCCTTTTTGTAAACAGATAAGGTTACACACATGGTAAGTGATAGACCTGAGACCTCGAATCCTGGTATTTGACTTTTAATTCAGACTTTTTAATTTCATATTTATACATATATATACACACACACATACACATGTATGTGTATGGTGCCTGGCACAGAGTAAGCATATACTAAATATTGGTTCCTATTTTCTTGGACTTGTAAAATTTTTAAATGCTGAATATGAAATTGCACATCAAATTGTTTATAATTCATAACATTATATAGCAATATGTAAGAAAAAGTAAAAAGAAAAAAGACTGTTACACATTTTATATTCAGTTTATCATCATATTTGTCAGCTCCAAATTTATGGAGGTAACAAGGATAGACAATCTACTGTGTGTTTTTGCATGGCCCCTAAGCTAAGAATGATCTTTAAAGAGTCATTAGAAAATCAAAAATACATATGCAATAAGACCTAAATGTAGCCCTCAATGCCTAAATTTTCCCCTCTGGCCCTTTGTAAAAAATTTGCTGAGGATATAATATTTCTTTCAAGAAAATAAATTATTAAATGTATAACAGTTTCTTTTTTGAGAATTATGTATTGGCAATAATAAAATATATGTGAAATAAATAGGTGGTTGCATATAATATAGGGAGAAACCTTTTATACAGCCATAACATGTCATGATTAGATTCCCTTAATATATTTTAAAATGTCATGTACCAGTACTTTTATCTTCACTAATACCCTGAGGCCAGAGAATTGAGCTGTAATTTTTTTCTTTTTCTTTTTTTTTTAAGATTTTATTCATTTACTTCCAGAGACAGAGGAAGGGAGGGAGAAAAAGAGGGAGAGAAATATCAATGTGTGGTTGCCTCTGGCATGCCCCCTCCTGGGGACCTAGCTTGCAACCCAGGCATGTACCCTGACTGGGAATCAAACCAGTGACTCTTTGGTTCACAGGCCTGTACTCAAGTCACTGAGCTACACCAGGCAAGGCTTGAGCTATAATTTCATTTGTAGATCTGCTAAAAATTGTACTCAGAAAAAAACCCATGTAGTACTTTCTTCTATCTTATGATAGCTAATTTGATTTTTTCTGACAGTGCCAAACTTCCCTGTCTTTTATTTACAAAATTGTTTTTGTTCAAAGAAGTTTTATGAATCAAGACAACAGGTTATGAAATGGCTAGGATCAGAACTCAGACCTGATTTTAAGAACTGTTTTCCTCTGCCAGAAGCCTGTCTATAAGACTAAAATGAATACAGTGCAATCTGGGAAATTTAGCTTAGGACTTCAGTACCATCTTGGTTAGTAATACTGGAACAGTGACATCTCTGGGAAAAACACTGGTATGAAAGAAAGAATAAAGAAACTTAAAAGTATGAAAGAGTGTTGAAAATACTTTTTTCCCTTATTTTTTCTCTCTACAAAATAAGGCTTTCTTTTTTTTTAAGATCCAGAATTTAGGCACTCTCCCTTCTGGACTGATGACAGTTCCCTCAGAATGTGAATAGGGGAGCTTGAAAGAAAATGAACTCTTCATCAAGTAGACTAGAATTCAAACTCCAGCTCTTCCACTTACTAGTTTTTGTTATCCTTGAGCATGATTTTGCTCACCTAGAAAATCGAGTGACTTAACACCAGGCAGGGTTATTTTATGGAAACAGAAAGATGGAGTAGTTGAAGTGCACAGCACCTTTTCCTTTTTCTCAAATTGACTGTTTTCATTCTTATACACCTCCACATCATTTTTGGATTATCAGTGAGGACAAAGCTTAGATTTTCATACCTTATTGGCACATGTAACCATACATTGCTGACATCTGTCATATGTATGTGCTGTAGGTGTCCTTCAAATTCACTTTATACTTAAGTAGTTCTGACTATAATTATAATGCCCCTAAGGTAGCAGTGGACAATGAATATCAAAACTGAAAACTAAGGCACAAAATAGAAAAACATCTTTACAGGCGTTAGTCCATAATAACAACTTATTTTTTAATTACCATCTTTACTTAACATAGTTCTTGTAGGAAGTAGATATGCACCATTGACATAAAGGTTGAGAATTACTGGATTAGTGTGTAATCATTAGCTAACAAAAAGAAAGTAAAAATCCAAAAATTAGATTTTTCATATTAAGTGGGAAAATATTAGGCTATAGAATAAAAATAATATGTTAAATAAAATTCTTATCTCCAACATTTTGTACTATCTGGCTTTTATTATTATTGTGAATTTTATTCTGAAAACTGTTTTTTAAAATCAGGGAAAATGAAAAGGTGCATTTTATTTTTCAGGCCTCTAATAGGTCCTGCATTACCACCTGGTTTTATTAAATCTACACAGAAAAGTGGCAAAGGCAGAGATGATCCACGACCACAAGTATCATCATGTCTCAACTCTGAGGTTTGGAAAATTTTTGATTAAAGGATAAGATGTAACAAACTCAAGACTTTACATAATAATGACTACAGTCATTATTGACTACATTATTGACTATAGTCATGACTCATGTAATATAAGACAGTCATATTCAGATTAATTTAGTATCATAACATAGGTAGATGTAATCAAAAGCTAATATTATAGACCTGAGGTTCTATTAGAAAAATAACATGTAATGTTAGAAGTGTATTATCTACTGATGCTTCTTACCTTTGAAAGGAAGCTTCAAAGTGCTAGACAATAGAACATGATGAAAAGTTTAAGGAATCAATATGATTTGACCCAGAACAGAGAAATCTGAGGAATTTTAAAATAATTATCTTTACCTTGAAATTAACTCTCTCCTACCTAGCTCTGGTACATGTATATAACAAAGGCACTGGTGGATAAATAATTTATGAAAAGATAGGTAAAATGATTTTGGAGTCAAGTGTGAAGATTGTTTTCTTGTTAGAAGCCAGGTCTTCAACAATAGTTGGGATTTGTGCAGTACTTTATAATTTGTAATGCATTTTACTCAAACACAGATATTTTTATCTTGTCCATTGCCTTATGAAATAGATATTACATTTTACAGATGCTAAAAAACCAGAAACATTGGGTAACATACTCAAGATTGCAGAGTTTATACTTATGAAGCCCCAGCTCTGAAGCCTTTAAATCACCTGTTTATTTTGTTGTTCTGCATGGAATTCAACACTTACACTGAGGTTGTTAATAAAGGAAATATAATGCAGTGGTTAAGATCAGAAACTTCAGAATCATTTATTCATTCTTTCAGCAATATTATAGAGCTCCTATAGTGTGTTAGGCACATAGTCACAGAATGAATCTGTCAACAAATTCTTTTATTCCTACCTTCAAGAGATATCCAGAATCCAGCCACTTCTTTTACCACCCTGGTCCAAGTCAACATAACATTTCACCTGTTTTATTGGCTTTCATGTTTTAGCCCTTGTTCCTCTGCTACCTCTTCTCAGTGCAGCCGCTAGACTGGCCTGGGTGAAACAAAGTCAGATCATGTCACAGATAAATTGCTCCTCCTACCTGTGTAAAGCCAAAGTCCTTACAGGGCCCTCTAAAATCTGGCCTCCATTAATACAACGGGCAGGCTTCTACCCCTGAGCCTTTATACCTGCTGAGTCTCTCCAAAATGGTCTTCCCTAGATACCTCTGTGTCTTGCCTCCAAGACCTTCCATTTTTTGCTGGAATATCACCTCAAAGAGGTCTTTTTTAATATACCAATTTCATTGGTATATTAAATCTACACAGAATATTTCATTGATTATGAAATATTTCATTGATTATGCTATTACAGTTGTCCCATTTTTTCTTCTTCATTCTCCTCCTCCCTGTATACCCCTCCATCCAGCATTCTCCCCACCTTAGGTGATGTCCATGGGTTGTATATATAAGTTCTTTTGGCTTCTCCATTTCCCATACTATTCTTAACCTCCCCCTGTCTATTTTGTACCTACCAATTACACTCCTTATTCCCTGTATCTTTTCCCCCACCCCGCTGATAACCCTCCATGTGATCTCTTATTTCTGTGATTCTGTTCCTATTCTAGTTGTTTGCTTAGTTTGTGTTTGTTTTCAGATTCAGTTTTTGATAGTTATAAGCTTGTCATTTTACTCATCAGTTTTCATCTTCTTTTTCTTAGATAAGTCCCTTTAAAATTTCATGTAATAAGGGCTTAGTGATGATGAATTCCTTGAACTTGACTTTACCTGGGAAGCACTTTATCTGCCCTTCCATTCTAAATGAAAGCTTTGCTGGATAGAGTAATCTTGGATGTAGATCCTTGCCTTTCATGACTTGGAATACTTCTTTCCAGACCCTTCTTGCCTGTAAGATTTCTTTTGAGAAATCAGCAGATAGTCTTATGGGAACTTCTTTGTAGGTAATTGTCTCCTTTTCTCTTGCTGTTTTTAAGATTCTCTCCTTACCATTTTCTTCTCTTCAGTTAAGCCAGTGGAAGCCCCAGTTACCATTTTAATTAAATGACCTTCTATACTCACCATGATCATTCTGAAAATCCTTAGAATTAGTTCATCAAATTAAAGCAGCTTTTCACATACAGACAAAAAGATTCATTCATCATCTTTAATCTTGAGTGATTTCATTATCATGTGTCTTGGTGTGTTCCTCCTTGGGTCCAACTTCTTTGGGACTCTCTGGGCTTCCTGGACTTCCTGGAAGTCTATTTCCTTTGTCTGGTGAGAGAAGTTTTCCTTCACTATTTTTTCAAATAAGTTTTCAATTTCTTGCTCTTTCTGTACTCCTTCTGGCGATCTTATGATTCAGATGTCAGAATATTAAAGTTACCTCGGAGATTCCTAAGCCTCTCCTCATTGTTTTGAATTCTTGTTTCTCCATTCTGTTCTGGTTGAATGTTTATTTCTTCCTTCTGCTACAAATTGTTGTCTGAGTCCCAATTTCTTTCCCATCACTGTTGCTTCCCTGTGATGCGGACACTGGCCCGCATTGTCCATGGTGTTATGGATGAGATACAAGACAAATTCACATGGACTACCAAGTCCTGTATAGAGAAACAGGGACAGCACGGCTACTCTCTCATGAGGAGAGCACCCTGACCCTTGCCTTCACAGACTTTTATTGGCTTTCTAATAGCATACATCGAAGAAGGCTTTCATCCATTATACTTAAGTTTGCTTTAGGTAATTACTTTTTACAGATAGCAATGGAAGGGATGTTACTGATTATTTCTTATATATTAACAATGAAACAATGTTGCAAATGCAAGGCAATGATAAGAGTAATAGGTCTGGTTACATTTCAGTCCTTGAGAGAATTAGACTTCAGGAAGTTACTTTAAAGATCTGCAGTAAGCATTTGCTGCCTGAACTCAGGGTGAAGGAGTTTTAGCAAGAGGAAGTCACAAAGCAGCCTAGTTATAATGCAGGCCTGAATACCCACAGGAGAACCGATCCATGGTTTGGCTCCTGCGTGCCACGACATGCCTATTGGGTTTTTCAGTAGGGCTGAGCTACAATTGCCATTGCTAGGCAGATCGGTTCCCTACATCCCGGTATGTTTTTCTTTATTTCACTTTGCATAGCCTTCACTTTTCTTCTATTTTGCATCTACTCAACCATTTCTGTGAGCATCCCAATTAGCAGTGTTTTGAACTCTACACTTGATAGGTTAGCTATTGCCTCATCACTTAGTATTTTTTCTGGAGTTTTGATTTGTTTTCTTCATTTGGGCCATATTTCTTTGTCTTAGCCCACCTGTTACGTTGTAAGGGGTAGAGTCTTAGGTATTTATCAGGATGGCGCAACCCACTTACTGCGTTGTGGCACTGTATATGGGGAAGGGGTCAGAGAGAGAACAGTGCCACTTGCTTGGCGCTCGCCCTGCTTTCGGTCACTTACCTGACTACCCATAAGCATATTGGGCCCTTTCTTGTGCTGGTTCGGGGTGGGGGTGTTGTGTATGTTCTAGGACCCCATGGGTCTCTCCAACAAACTTTCCTGTGAGACTGGGAGTTTCTCCAAAACCCACCCGCTCAGGTCTTTACAGCCAGAGGTTTTGAGTCTGTAGTTTCTTTACTGGAACCCTGGGTTGCGCAGTCTGTCTCATTCCCGAGTTGTTCCTCCCAGCTCCTCCACATGCAAATGTGGGACCACCCAATCTGCTAGCTGCCACCTGGCCCTGCCTTGTCAGCTGCCTTTCGGCACATCCTCTCCACCCTGGCTCTCCAACTTTACTCTCCTACCAGTCTGGATGAATGTTTCTTCTTTGACTCCTTGATTGTCAGACTTCCATACATTCAATTTTCTGGCAGTTCTGATTACTTTTTGTTTTTTTTTTAATTTGTTGTTGTCCTTCTTTTGGTTGTGCAAGAAAGGAAAACATATCTACCTACCCCTTCATCTTGGCTGGAAGTCCTCAAAGATGTCATTTCTGGCCAACCAATTTGAAATTGCTGGCTTAATCTTCCCTTTACTCCTGTCCCCTTCTCTCCTTTAATTTTCTCCATAGCATTTATCACTACAGGAGATACCATTTATTAACCTCTCCCTATGAGAATGTGAGTCCATGGAGGACAGAGGTTTTGTCTTATCTGCAGTAGCCATTCAAAGTATTTGCTGAATGAGTAAGCGAGGCCCAGTCCCTGCCCTCATTGCACTTACAGTGTAGTGGACAATATATACAGTAAACAAATACCATCTAATATGAATGATTAAAAAGGTCAGACAAAATATAGTGGAACCATGACAGGGAAATCTAATAAGAAGAAAGGAAAAAAAGTCTTAAGTGAATATTAATGAATTGGAGCTAGCCCAGCAAAAAGGAAAGATTGTTCTAGAAAGTACAGATAGCATATTTGAAGGCAAAAAAAGTATGGAGAGGGAGAAAGTTAGGGTTTAAAAAAATCTAGGATGGTTAGGGTGGAGAGAATGAAAAAAAAGGGTAAGAGAAAGGGAGAGAGGTAGGCAAGAGCCACACAAGCTTTGAATCCTCGTGGAGCTTAGTTTCATTACTAGTAGCATTCAGGTGGTTATTTTACAGAGTTGTTTTAAGGATAATTTAGAACAGTAGGTATTCAATTTATAATAGCTCTGTTGTTAATATTACAATTAGTGTTATGATTACCACCTCCACTGTTGATGTCATAGGAGTAACTTTGAACAATTGATGCTGAGTATAAGGAATCCTTTCTAACAAGGTGGTTAAATACAGGAATAAATGACCAGAGGTAGGACTTCCAGCCGTTTCGGATAGCCACAAAATTAATACACAGTTAAGCTTAAAAGAAAGAAAGGGAAATCCATTGGTGTTAATAATATTGAGAGACTTCAAAGTCAGAGCAGTAAACACAGGTTACACAGCACAGGGCCACAGTGGTTTCAGAGGTACCAGCCATAAGCCCTGGGGTATTGGGCATGTGAACAGGAGCTACAGGTTCAGGCTCACTTAGGCAGAAGAGAA